CTGATTCTTCAGTTGTATTGTAACACTATCGCTCTTTCATCTGTCTTTCTGTATCTTATCACTCAATCAAAATTCAGCGCTGCCATCATAGGAATAAATTCTATTTTAAAATATATTAAAATAGAAAAAAAGTTATTTTAAAATATTAATAATATTCACAATATTTTGATCAAATAAATGTGACCATGGTTAAAAAAGAGACTTCTTTCAAAAAACATCTACCAAATCTTAATAACCCTGATCTTTTGAACACTAGTGTGTATATAGTATATTATTTTACTGTATATATATTTGTTAACAACATTAGCATACTATGTTTGTACAGTCTGACCTAACAGATGTAGCTGTTTGCAAACATTGTGTTGAAAACTGGGACACAGCAGAACCCTCCGATATAACAGGCCAAGCCACATTCAACCCCTTTCAGTCTGTCTTTTCTTCTCTTGATCTTCCTGTATAGCAGGTAAATTAATTCATCCTCTGTCTTAGAACAATCACTTATTTTAAATGACAAACCAACTGTGAGCGCTCAGTTCCCCTCTCCAGGGACAGTTTGTGTGGTGTGAGGTGGTTTGTGTGAGAGTGTGTATGTGTATTACTGCCATCCTCCTGGAACAGGGTAACAGATCTGCTTACTTCTCTTTCCCTCCTCTCTTTCTCCACTCTTTTATTTTCCCTGTTCTAGTGGTTTTGTCCTGAGAGAAACACTAGAGGCAGGAAAGTAGGCCGGAGGCAGGAGGGGACTGAGTCTAAATACACTGTTACAAGTTATCTGGCTCAATAACAGTAAATACAGACATACGCATTAAATCAAGAGGCTATGATCAACTTTTAACATATTGAAGGCTTGAAATCAACATAGAATGTATTCTATCTCAATAAAATAAGCTAAAACTGCAAAAGTTTACATGTCTAATGAAATACATTTTAAACTAAAATTATTACATTATATCAAGCTACATATATAATAAATAGCACTTTAATCAAATTGATGTGGAACAGAATTCAGTCAATGACCAAATTCATGAGCAAAATCAAATTCAAATTTTAGCAAACCTCTATGGAAAGTTTGTGCCAGAAGAAAACATGATGGACAACAAATAAACATGAAGCCAGTGAGAAAGTTAAGTTGAAACATGTACACAAAGAGTCATGGATAGAGCTGCGTAGGCCGGGGAAGAAAAAAGGCAAAAATGAGAAAAAAGAGCAGGCAGAGAACAGGCCGGCTATAGATTTAAGATAAGTTGGTTGACAGTCAAATATTTGTAAAATATTCAGAGAAAGAAAGAAAGAAAGAAGATGCAGATTTATAGAATATACTGATACTTTTGAGAAACCAAATCGTGCACAAGCAAAATCTGGACACACTTTTTAGACAACACAAAGGCGGCTCTGTCAATGAGTTGCTATTATGTCTTTATTGTTGTGATTGAGGCTTATTGGTAGAATAGGTCTCACATTGCTACAGTAACCCAAGAGATGTATTGAGTGACAGCTGGGTCATTAACATCAACTATAATTAGCACAATTGTGCTACACTTATCTATTAGTTTAAAAAAAAAATGTTTAAAATACATGCAGATCCAGACCTAGCATATGTGCCACAAAAATATTTAGGTTTTTAAGTGTACATTAAATGTAAAAAATGTGTAAGGATGGGAAAGGGGTTTAAATGGAGAGGTTGATGGTTGTTCTGCTCTGTTATTGTAATGTACTGATGTTATCAAACTAATTCAAGCCATTACACATAACACTTTTTTTAACAAGTAAATGGAACCATCATGCTCTGCATGCATCTATAAACTCTCTCCACACGCACTATGTTTTACCCTCTTTTTATCCATCCCACACTTACATTCAGGTAATTGTTTGTTTAGAGACTGTTTCTAATTTAATAGCTGTAATCTAATAGCTGGCTGTTTATCATTCAAAGATAAGATTGAGGAGGGCCTGCTAATTTTATTAGTCTCTTCAGTAAGGGATGTGGGAGGCTTTTACCGCCCTGCTAATTGGAACAATGAGTCGGACAGTGGATGAGCGTAACCTGAACTGTTCAAAACAGAATGACCTCTGTTACTTCCTTTCTTACGGTCTAGCAATTCATATTGAAGTGTCTGTCACTTGTGTCGACAAATTGATCACAAAACATAAAATGACAGTTTGATGCACTCCTAAACAATTGCATATAAACCTCAAAGGGCAAAGGTCACAATCTTTAGCCTTTAACACTTATTGGCGGCACACATCTAAAACAATAACTTTTGCATATATGACTCATATGCATCGAATGATCTAGACATACACATAGCGCACAAAATACCTGTGTGACAAAGTTAAATTCTTCAGTAGACAGTGACAATGCTGCTGACCTGGAAGAAAAGTGCAGAACAAAGAAAAGGAAAACAAGAGAAAGGGAGGTGTGGGATAAAGGTTGTATGGACATAAAAGCCCCAACAAAGGAAATATAGGTGAGAGAGAACAACGGGGTGACAGAGATAAAGTGCATTCAAAGAAAGGATGGAAAGTGGGATAATGGACTGGAACAAAGAACCCTTTTGAATGAATGTGCTTTTTTGTGGACATGGACCTTTATACTATAAGAGTGTGTTACTTTATGACTCTGTGAAGACAACGTATTGCAGCACACAGGAAAACATGATACAGTATATGTGTGTGTATGTAAGTGAGCAGTTTACAATATCTCAAATCACTTCCATTGCGGGCTTTAATAAGACCTAAATAAAATATGTTGATGTATGTTTAATTCATGCAAAAATGAACCTCAGATGTCAAAAATAAATAATATAAAAAAAGTGAAATGCAATGCACTAAACTTTTCATTCACCCAGAGACTTGAATAAATCTATAAAATGCAGGGACACTATAGTCTATGTTCAGCTAAAAGCTCAGCTAAGGGAAATTATGTGATTAGTAATACAAAGGTCTCTAGCAGTAGCCCATTGATTTATAGAAGGATTGATGTTTTTTGCTCAAGTGATTGATTCATTGAGAGCTTAAAACCTCTATGCAAAAAACGACTGATGCATTTTGACAACTGTGTGCCATTACAAATCAAGACTAAACAGATGATTTTCATGGCTTGCATGTAATGCATCTCCATGACGTACTTACATAATCAAGGAGTAAAAACACTGAAGACTGAAAAATCCATACATAATTGTCATAATTAGCCAACCAAATTCAAGCAAATAATATATTTATATATAATGAATTATGAAATATGGATAATTTACAATAGGGTGAATTCAGGTAATTGGGACACTTCTGGAATTGAGATGACTGGGGAAAAAAATGTCTCAATTATCCTACTATATAATACTAGAATATAACCCACACCTAACCCTAACAGAAAACAGAAAAGTTTTAACTTAATATAACATGTATAATGATTGGTCAGTTAATAGCTGGGCAACATGAAGACAACACTTGTGAATTTGTACCCATGTGTTTACATTTTCTGAACAAAACATGATTGCTGTGCTGTTGCTGTGGGGTTCTGGGTTTCTAGGGCGTTACTAAGTGGGAGCTGGTTACTTACCTACTGTCTTAAGTCAGTATAAAGTATGCCAGTTCACCTCTAGTAATAGTCTGGTCACATAGAAAAGTAATAGCTCAACTCTGTTCAGTTCGCTTCACCATTTGAGGTATCTAGGTACACTTAATGTCCATAGCACAAATACTGAATGTAAGTAGCTTCAATTTTTATTTATTAATTTAAAAAGAGAAACCGTAATTAAAACGAATAATGACTACGACTGGACTGACTCTGGGGATACTAATGCCCTCTACATGTGAGCCAGTGCTATTGCACGATCCACATGGACACTAAAAAGAGTGCGTTTAAGAGGGAGAGAAAATACTCTGTAAGGAAACAATCCATGCGATCAAAGAAAATAATTAAAAACCTACACACACAAACGATTAGAAATGTTATTGCAATTGAAAATAACTTTTCTATTTTTTATATATTTAAAAAAGATATATTTTCCTGTGATGGCAAAGCTGAATTTTCAGCAGTAAAATTCATTTAGTAAAATTGTAATCATTAAAATGTATATATATATATATATATATATATATTAATGACCCCAAACATGGTATAGGGTCAGTTTATAATCTAAAAACACTTAAGAATATCATAAAGTGACTGACCAGTTGCTAAAATTGCCAAACTGTCCTTTCTAACAAAAATACATACAGATGAAAAACAAATAAAAGAGGGGGAGATATAACACATATATTTTTAAACACCAACTGGCATTAAGATGTTAAGAAGACTAAACTAAAATAAAGTTCCAGATGAGGCTCAAGGTCCTATTGTCATATGGAATGGAACATAAAGGAATAGTTGGACAATGAAGTAATAATTCACCTAAAAATGAAAGTTCAATAATTTACTCTCTCATGTTGTTCGAGACCTGTATTATTTTCTTTCTTCTGTGCAACACAACAGACAACACATTAAAAGATTCCTTAAGAGGTTAAGTCAAAGGTAAGTAGTCAAAGGTTAAAAAAGCTTCAGTCAGTTAGCTCAACACATCTTCCTTTTAGAGTAATGTGATGCTGTAAATTAATCCACGACAGCACATTTGCTAGACAAAGAAAGAGTGCGTAAGAGAATGAAAGTGATAGGCAGTTACCTGTGTATGCACTTCTTAAAAAAAGTCCAGTTAATGGCAATAATAATGAAAAACAAATAAAGGCTTTGTTTTTATCTGCGGTGTCAGGTACAAACAGGGAAGTATAACAACACAGATGGCATTTAATATTTTAGTACAGCTGCTATTTGTATACTCGCATATTAAGAACGAATTTGCCTACAGATTCCCCCAAGTTGCCACAACGTGACTGGAATAGATATTCAAATCCATGAAGCAAAACAATGATAAGACTTATCATGGCCCTTCTTAACGTTATTTGTTTTTTTTTAACCACTCTCATCTGCATTTGCACAAAAAAACATACATAAGTGCCTACAGATTCCCCCAAGTTGCCACAACGTGACTGGAATAGATATTCAAATCCATGAAGCAAAACAATGATAAGACTTATCATGGCCCTTCTTAACGTTATTTGTTTTTTTTAACCACTCTCATCTGCATTTGCACAAAAAAACATACATAAACAGTGGCGCAAACAAATGGAAAAAAGGATATTTATAAATGTAGAGTAACTGATGGTGGGGTGTGTGGAAACACATTTCGCCTCTGATTTGCCAACAGAAATATTTGCCTATACTCACAATGCATTCTGCCCTAAAGCAATGTCCCAACCACTCTCGATATGCCAAACACAAATACTTTCCACACACTCTTGCAAACAAAATGTAAATCACAAAATATACAGTGCACTGCAACTACAGCAGTTTAGCTATTAGAGTTGTTTTATTAGAAGTCATATAATGGCTTTTATTAGTAAAGTAATGATATATATGTCTTTAAGGAATATTCCATCTTTTCTTTTTTGTTGATTTTTATTATTCCACATTTGAAGGAATAACACAAATGCAAAGTAACAGAATAGAAACTCTGCACAGAATAAAACATGTACAAGACGTTTCCGTTCCATATCCTAGACTTTATGCTCAGTGTCTGTTATTCCTGCCCCTCCGCTAGCATTTATCAGGAATGATCGGACTGATGGTCAGGACTGAACCATCTTTTTTTGGGGATCATATATATAGCGTTTGAAGTTCAGATGTATGGTGACTGGTTGAGCATCGGGCTTAGTTTCCTCCAATTTGGAGGATTCATTTTTGGCCCCACCCTTCCCCTTCTTCTTAGAGGAAGAGGATAGATGCTGCTTGGTTTCTTCTTTCAGCCCCTCTAACAGAAACAGAAACACAACGTGACTAGACAGAATGTATCCCTCATGTTTTGGCCGGATACAATTATCATATGATTATTTGTTTTAAACAGAAATTAACTGCTGCATAAATCAAAATTTCATGGCAAAAATATTTTAAATCTAGACCGACTTACTTTTTCTCAAGCTAGGTAATGTAGATTACAAAAATGCTAAACATCTTTACTTGTGTGGCTATGGATACATTCATTCTACTCCATTTCATTGGGCCTGAAGTGAGGGGTGTGCTGTAATGTGTGTGTACGTATATTTGTGTGGCTGAGGTCTACCTACACAAAGCGAGCCTTGAGGGTCAGGAAAAGGATGTGAGTTTTTTTTTTGCACTTATATTTAAGGTTCCACATGCATTTTTTGGTGTGTGTAACTTTAAATGTGAGTAGCTTTTGAGCATGCGGAATGAGTATACGGATGTATAAATATGCAAGTCACCTGACAAGAAACTTAGAGGAAGGAGGTAAAAAGGGGCCAAGAAAGAAGTAAGGGTGAGTAAAAGAGAGTGTTTTTGTCTTTGCTTACCTGGAATTCTGATTTTGATCTTGCCACTTTGGCCGAAGCCACCTTCAATGGAGCCCGTTTCTCCTGTTGACAGTGTAACTTTTAAGCCCACAAACAGCTGAAGGTTCGTCTCCTTCTTAAAAAGGTTTCGACCAATCACAGTGTAGTCATCTGTCACCTGACCAAAGATACAAAATTGGAAAAGAAAACTGGCAAAACTGCTTAGCTAGAGCTTTTTTAGTTTCTTATGTTCACCAAGACTGCATTAATTTGCTTAAAAACAATAATATAGTGAAATATTATCACAATAAAAGAACTCTTTCCATTTTTATATATTTTAAATTATTCCTGTGATGGCAAAGCTGCAGCCATTACGCCAGTCTTCAATATGATTCTTTAGAAATCATTCTAATATGCTGATCTAGTGCTCAAGAAACATTTATTATTGCCAGTGTTGAAAACAGTTGTGCTGCTTAATATTTTTGTGGAACCCATGATACATTTTTGTCAGGATTATCTGATGAATAGAAAGTGCAAAAGAAACACCTCTTTTTGTAAAAGAAATCTTTAACCAAAAAAGCTTTTACTGTGACTTTTGATCAACTTAATCCTTGCTGAATAGAAGTATTAATTTACCTAAAACAAATCTCACCCCAAACCTTTGAATGGAAGTGTAAATATTTATAGTCACCCGTTCCACTGCTCCTTCTTTCTGCTTGTCTTTGCTGATTTTGAGCCGAGGCAGTGCGGTCTCGGTGTAGTTTTTGTCCTCAAAGCCTTCCAGAAGCTGTCCATGAAAGGCAAGCCTGCATGTGTTACCATGGATATCTGAGTCCAGTCGTGACCCAATCACTAAGCAAAGTGGAGGACATGTGACTGGTCGTTCAAACTCAAGTAAAGCCCATTGCTGTGGTTCCCCTCTCCCACAAGTCAAAAACTCATCCAGGTGATGAAACTCCCAATCAAATGAGAAAAGGTTTGCACTTTTCTCTTGTGAGGTGGGGCTACAGTCTCCATTTTCGTTCCTGGGAAGCACTCGATTGAAGAATGAGATACGTGCCATAACAGTTTCGTGTCCAACAGTAATGTGAAACTTTGCACGGCTACTAAGTGCTCCACGATAGTATTCAATCTTTTGGACGGATATAATAGCAGCAAAAAGAGTCTGCAATGAACCTGGTGTGCATACTACACCTCGTTCTAACAGTTTTGGGTCAAACTGGGTCACACACACACCGACCCTATCCCCTTGCATAGCACTAGGAACTGGCTTTCGAAACATCTGCACAGATTTGACCTTGCGAGTTACCTGAGGAATAAAAAAAATCTAAAATAAGGAGCGGATCATGTCAATACACTATGTAGAAAAATATCTGTTCACCTACCATGGTGAAACTGATCATTTGGAAACAGTCAGAGAAATAAGAAAAAAGACGAGAATCTTTTTTTTAATGCATTTTGTGCAGTTTGCATGTATACTACTGTTCAAAAGTCTGGGGCTGGTACGTTTTTTAATTTTTTTACGAAAAAAAAAAAATTCCCAGTTTTTTAGGCTTTATTTATTTAATTAAAATATCCAATAAAAACTGTACTGTGAAACAATATTGTGAAACATTATTACAATGTAAAATACCTGTTTTCTATTTAAATATATTTTGAAATATAATTTATTCCTGTGACGGCAAAGTTGAATTTTCAGCATCATTACTCCAGTCTTCAGTGTCACATGATCCTTCAGAAATCATTATAATATGCTGATTTGGTGCTCAAGAGACATTTGCTATTATTATCGATATTCAAAGCAGTTGTGCTGCTTAATATCTTTGTGGAAATGGTGATACTACAATAAATAGTAAGTTCAAAAGAACAGCATTTATTTGAAATAGAAATCTTTTGCAACATTATAAATATCTTTACTGTCACTTTCGATCGATTTAATGCATTTTTGCTGAATAAAAGTACATTCGCTTAAAGAAATCGTATTCACCTCAAACTTTTGATTGGTAGTGTATGTATTGTAGAGCTGCATATAGAAATACATAAATACCTTTAACGCTGGTATCTCCACAGTATCATTGACACAGAGTGACCCTTGTAGGATGGTGCCAGTAATGACTGTTCCCTGGCCACGGATGGAGAAACAGTGATCTACAGCCATCAGAAGAGAACCTGATGGATCTCTATGAGGAAAGAAGGCTTGGGCCTTCAATAACTGAACACAAAGACAGAGACATCTTCAAAAATATGATCCACACTTTGCAAAATACAGTAATGTCCAAAGGTCTGAAACCTAAAATCACCCTTTTGCTTTAATAAAAAACATTGACTCAAGTTAGTATAAACTCCACAAGTTTGTGCAAAACCTGATCTGTTATCCAGGATTTGAAAATGTTCCCTTGCGTGTATTAATGGAAAGAAGGAAATCTTTTGCAATGATCATTTGTATGGTCAATGTCACAAATTTGCCTAAATTTGACTTAGTGTCCTGTATATATTACTTCTTTGACATCATACATAACTTTTCTTTATTTAGGCATTTTCAAACTCCTAAAATATTATTCTCATTTACATGTTTATAGGGGGAAAAAATATAAAATTTAAGTTAAAAAATTTAAAAAACTTTTGGATCTTGAATCTGTGCTACTGAACACCCACTAACTCACGTCTATGAGTTCAGTTATTCCTTGTGGCTCGTCTGTTTCTGGGAACTCAGGACCACCAGGCTTTGCTGCCACAGCAATAATAGCGCAGCCTTTAAATCTGACAAGTAAAAAGTCAAGTCAATTTTATTTGTATAGCACAATACACATGGTTTCAAATTATCTTTATAGAAACTCATGATGTTAATGTTTATAACATCTATAATATCTCGTGCGACAGATTTGACCACAATATAAACAATCAAGCAGTTTAGATTTGTTATATGTTGTAAAAAAAAAATCTGTGAAATTTACGTAAAGAAAAAAAAAACAGCAGCTGAAGTTGCCAGAAGTTAAAGAAAAGGCAGCAATTTACATTTTTTTTCACTGAAAATTTTAAGATGACTTGTTCTTTTTTACTTCCAAAAACTGTAAATTATAGTCTATATAGCATTTAAAGTCTTTTACCATTAAAATTACAATCATTTTTTACAGTCTGAACACATGGCAAAATGTGTAATATGTCTAATATACAGTTAAACATGTGCTTGACAGTGTCTACCTTGTGTTCTCAAGAGTTTTGTGCATCCTCTTGGTCATTTTGTCAACAGCCGCCTGTCTCTTGTCAGTAGGCAACAGGTCTGTTTTGTTGAGGATTACAATCATGTGGGAGCAGGTGAGCTGACCAATCAAAAGACACTCTGCTGTTTGTGTCTGCATACCTTTCACAACGTCAACCACCAACATCATCAGATCAATGATCTGAGCACCTGAACGCAAGTATACAGATGAGAGTAAAACATATAACTTCAACATTGACAAACATGACAAAGTAGTCATCGCTGCTAGACAGTATTACAGAAAGAGAGACCGAAAATAAGAGAAGTAGGAGACTGGGCTATTGCCTTTGCTTTCCCTCTTTTTCTCTCCCTCTCTCTGGCACTCATTCTTTCCTGAGAGATCCCCTCTGGGGGGAGAGAGGAAGTCAAGCTGGAACCCCGAACAGCCCCCTTCCGCCTTAATCAACCACATGTGCCATAAATGCTCTCACACACTCACACACACACACACACAGACACACACACACACACCAGTACCATCAATGCAATTACACTAGACATTCCCACCACACTGAGAGTTCTCTGGGTTTGTTTGGACCTGAAGGTTAACAAAAAAAACCTCTAGACATTGTTTCACATCATCTATTTTGTTCATACATCCCACTGTGAACATTATACCTATGAAACTGTGTATGTTAGAAAACAAGCCATGTGAGCTTTTAGTATGGAGGAATATTGATGTATTGCATGTATTGTACCCATAACTACCCATAAATTTAGTTGAATTACTGAAATAAATGAACTTTTCCACGACATTCTAATTTATTGAGATGCACCTGTATGTGTGATTCCACTGTAAAAAAATATATTTTTCGTAGTTGTAAAGTTGTAAATAAGTACAATAAGTATCTTGTTTTACAAGATAATACTATTTCAGCATTTCTACTTAAAAATTTCACGTTTAATTCAATGTAATTTGCCATTTCTTTGTAATTATTTGAGAAATTTACTAGCAATTTCTGAGTGAAAATTGTGTCAAAGGAACTCCTACACCAGTATTTTTTTTCAGTGTGTTAAAGACACTTAATTGTGTTTTACAATTTGGAAGTGCATTAAATGACAGAATCTGATCATGATAACATGTTGACAAAATGCTATTCTTTGCTGTAACTGTAAAAGGTGTTCCAATTCTAAATGCATTTTTATTTTATATTTTGTGACGTTTCAAGCTTAAACGCTCTTCATCAGAGCGTGACCGTTTAAGCTCGAAACGTCACCTGTGGTGAGAACATAATTAAATACTTCTCTATCTCTGGAGCTGTGGTGTGCCTACTTTTGATGTTTTCGTTCTTATTTTTGTGTGGTAGAGCACCCACATTGAGCTTTTTTGGCCTAATTGATGTGCACTCTTGGACAGTTTTTTATTTTATATTTTGTACCATTACAAGTCTGTCATTAAAAGCAGATGTGTTTTGATTTGAAAACGTGATTTAACTCTATAAAGCCTACAGTATCACATTTGAAACATGAATTTTTAATGTCCCTACTCCCTAAATGATCAGCATTATCAAAACTTATGAAAAAAAAAACCTGTTGTACACTCTAATTGATAGTTCATACTATTTTAGCAAATAAAGGGCCTTTTAGTATAATTCTAAAAAAAATCCCACCTTTAGGTAATGGTACACAAGTCTTTTTGATGTGATCTTTAATGATTTGTATAAAGTGAATATAAGAATAACTTTTATATTGTAATTAATATTTAATATTTATATTATCATTAACATTTACTGAAATGAAGAAATTTAGGATTACTTAATTATCCATACAACTTTTCTTTTTTTTCTTTTTTTTAAATAATCATCAATTATTATCAAATATGAAACAGGCGTGAGGAACAAAAACATCTTAATCATTATTGTACAAGCATACAATATCATCTTACTAAAGACATATTATTGATCGATTTAGAGTGACGAATTATATTTAGATTAATTTAAAGCAAGTAGTCTGTTATACTGAAATAAAAAGATCATTGAATTACAAGCTCTCAGAATATCCTCGAATAAAACTGACGTTTTTTAATCTTTGAATGCGAGCAGCACTATATTATCCTGCATCATACTATCAAATCTGATACAAACATAAAACACATATGCATATTTGTAAGATTTTCTTTTATATTTTGTATAAAAGTTCAACAAACTTCCATAAACAAATCTGACTATTATATCATATTTCATCTTTACAGGGTTAATATGACCACTTCAAATACTATACACACCACCTACTGATCAAAAGTGGTAGTTCTGGATAGAATTTAAAATGCACTGACAGGTTTGTTATTCTTCAAGTAGTATGCTTATGATCAAATATACATATATATATATATATATATATATATATATATATATATATACACATATACATATATATATATACACACACACACATATATATATATAAACATGATAACAGTTATAACAGGACTTAAAAGACGTTAGTAGTGCGTGGTGAATTATATGTTTATACACTGATTCACGCAAACATAAAACCTGCAGTTTGATTGTGGTTTTATTGAGCCAAACTAATAAAAAACACCTAATTTAGCCACTTACCCCCGATAATGGTGCGTATGAGGGATGCATGTCCCGGGCAGTCCACCAGTGTGAACTGCAGACTGTCGTATTGTCTGTCCCCGCAGGATTTTTTCAGGTGCTCCGGTAAGGGCACCGTAAACGCACTAAAGCCGAGATCCAGCGTGATACCCCGCTCTTTGGACTGGGGGTTCTTGTCGAAGGCTGCGGTGGATGCGGTGCTGCTCAGCGCACGGGCAAGAGACGTTTTTCCGCTGTCCACATGGCCGAGGACACCAACGTTGAAGTTAAGCGTTTTAGGAGGACTGGAATCTGCCATCACTAGAACAGCGCGCCTGTTGGGGATCAGAGAATGAATGCGCAGACTTTGAACTGCTGACAGCAACGCTGCTGGTTCAACCCAACCAGCTCGATATTAAACTGTCAGTTAACCGAGTATCTCTAATTTAGGTGGCAATATCTTCTTCTTAATTCTGATTTGAGAGATTAAATAGCATGCTAACGTAAATTGCTGCTCTTACTGTTTTCAGCAAACTTTTCTGAAATTTGACAGGTGTTTTTCCTGTGCTACAAATAAACAATCCCTGGTGTAACAGCAACTCAACTCATAGGTTCCTCTTCAGAGCATTTGTTTTAGAAAAGGAAAATGCATCATGGGTCAAATAATATATAAAATTTTTCAATTGTTTACAGCATGTTTGTTTCACAATTAGGAGTTTATTTGCACTTCATACAGAAGACGAGTTTTGTGGAACGCACAGTGGCGCATCTTCGTTCCAGTACAACATTTCAAACGGCACACAAACGGAAAATAGGGGCGTATTCGCAGTGATCAGACGGATCCAATGATTAAACAGAGTTTCCACAAATTGACCAATCGTTGCAAAGAACGACTGAAAAAAACGTTTCCAGGGCGGTACTTCCTCAAATCGCCTTAGTTACCCACATGGAAACGCGGGTCTCTTGTGTTTGATTTCAACGGCCTTTCGTGTAATAGGCTTGAAATTAGTTTACTCACTTTTTAGATTGTTTAAATAACTAATAAGAAACATGAAGATCGAAGAGGTAAAAAGCACAACCAAGACGCAGCGCATCGCTTCTCACAGCCATGTAAAGGGTCTCGGGCTGGACGAGGCCGGTAATGCTAAACAAGCCGCGTCCGGACTAGTGGGGCAGGAGACCGCTAGAGAGGTAACTTCGAGATCAATTTCATATTTTGCTCGTTTGTTAATGAATGCAGAATCAGTCAATTTGATTACACTCATTATTATATGGTCTTCTGCATTTAACTGGTTGCTTGTGAAGAACGAATACAAAGTGTGGTATGTGTTAGGATTCAGGAGCAGTATAAAAATGCGTATGTGTATTTCACTTTCACCAAGAGTATTTTACTGTGCTTATAACACATCCTGGTTTTGCAGACTTTTAATATGTAGTTAAGCTGCTTGATATTATTATTATTATTATATTATGCGTTTATAAAGGACAACATGTTGCTGTAAATCCTTTTCAATTTCAAAAAATGGAAAAGATAAACATAAATTCTTTATATTGTATTCTTACCGTTTTATTAGGCTTGTGGTATCATTGTAGAGCTGATTCGTTCCAAAAAGATGGCTGGCAGAGCCATTTTACTGGCCGGACCACCTGGAACAGGCAAGGTAAGGACTGACAACCTTTAATTTAACAGTCATTGTCAATAGTTTCAGAGAGTGTTTATGGTTTGATAATTGTATTTCTGTACCCTGCAGACTGCTCTAGCATTAGCCATGGCACAGGAATTGGGAAATAAAGTGCCATTCTGTCCTATGGTGGGCAGTGAAGTGTATTCATCAGAAATCAAAAAGACTGAAGTGCTGATGGAGAACTTCAGAAGAGCCATAGGTGAGCTCTCATGGAAAGAACCCATATCTGTGCACCATAACCTGTAAAAATGCTATTATAATAGTGAACATTTATTCATTTCTTTTAAGAGACGCATGCTTTTTATAATGAAGGTAAAAATGGTGAAAACCCCATTCAAATACATTTCAACTTGTCGTGCTACTAGTTAGTAAATAATTCCCCATGCACACACACTGTAGCTTGATATTAGTCATTAGACTCAAAACTGTGTGGAGTGGACTGTGTGATCAAGTGAGATATGCATGCACACATTATTACAGTGCTGACAGAGAAATACACTGGCATTGGCAATTGAACACACACAGGTGAGTAGATTCACTGATATTTCATAATATATAATGAATTCTGTAGGTTTTTAAAAGCCTATAAGTAGATCCACTAGTATTTAATATGTTAGCATTGTTTATATGTTCTGTTCATTCTTGTACCTAAAATTCTTAATTAATTATATGAATATTTATTAATTATAGTAATTATTAAATTATTATTAAAATTCGTATTTTTTGATTGTGCAGGTCTGCGTATCAAGGAGACTAAGGAGGTGTATGAGGGAGAGGTCACTGAACTGACTCCTTGTGAGACGGAGAACCCAATGGGGGGCTATGGAAAAACTATCAGTCATGTCATTATTGGTTTGAAGACAGCTAAAGGCACCAAACAGTTGAAGGTAAGGAAGTGAAAGCGCTTTTCTTGCATACTTGTATTTCAAAGATAAGGAGCTGGATCGAAGCCGATTTTTTTTGTCAGTTTGAAGTTATATCTCATAGCGTTTGTTATGCTTATGCAGCTGGATCCCAGTATCTATGAAAGTCTGCAGAAGGAGAGAGTGGAGGTCGGAGATGTTATCTACATCGAAGCGAACAGTGGGGCAGTCAAGGTATGGACGGATTTCCTTAACTATTCTCTCTCCTCCCTATATCTGCTCTTGGCATGTTGAAGCAATCTTTTGTCAGTGCAGGTGGACAGGTAGTCTGGCAGCGGTATAAAGGACAAGATTATCTTTCATATTATTGAAAGAAATTAATGCTTTTATTCAGCAAGAATGCATTAATGTGAAGTGATAGTAAAGACATTCATTAGGTTACAAAATATATAAATATCACAAATATAATATAATGTTACAAATGCTGTTCTTTTTGGCTTTATATTTTTTAAAGGATTTTGAAAAAAACAATTTCTACAAAAATATTAAGCAGCACAACTTGTTTGCAGGAATAAGTTAGATTTTAAGATATATTCAAATTTTTTAACTGTCACTATTTCTTTTTCTTTCTTTTCTTTTTTGTATTTTTGATCAAATAAATGCAGAATTGGTCAGCATAATAGATTTCTTTCAAAAACATTTTGAACGGTAGTGTACACGCATATATGGTTGCACAACTCTAGTATTTCAACAAAATCCTACATCACATAAAGTGCAGTACACTTCCCTTGTAAATAAATTGACCCGATTTAATGGTCCCCAAATCTCTCAAAGCTTTTGAGTTCATTCATAATCAGTCCTTCTGTTTTTGGTCTGCAGAGGCAGGGACGGTGTGACACATTTGCAACAGAGTTTGATCTGGAGGCGGAAGAGTACGTACCTCTTCCGAAAGGTGATGTACACAAGAAGAAAGAGATTATTCAGGATGTTACACTTCATGACCTGGATATTGCTAATGCAAGACCTCAGGTATGTGCACACAAACATCATGTTTTCCAGCATTTCAAGTGGATCCCCATAATGCTGATCATATAAGCATACTGTGTTTTCCAGGGAGGCCAGGACATACTTTCTATGATGGGTCAACTGATGAAACCCAAGAAGACAGAAATCACAGGTATCATACATTATATACTGATAATCATAACAGGATTTTTAATGAAGCCTTGTTTAACTATCTTTTTTTTGTGTGTATTATGTATTCAGATAAACTGAGAGGGGAGATCAATAAGGTGGTGAACAAGTACATTGATCAGGGTGTGGCAGAGCTGGTTCCTGGTGTTCTGTTCATTGATGAAGTTCACATGCTGGACATCGAGTGTTTTACCTACCTACATCGAGCACTGGAGAGCTCCATTGCTCCCATCGTAGTGTTTGCATCCAATCGAGGAAACTGCCTTATAAGGTGTGTTTTTGATACAATGGGAAACGTAGTCAATTAAATTAGCTTTGTCTCACTTTTGTAGGATATTAAGTAACAATTTTACAGTAAAGTTCAGTTAGTTAACATTAATGGATTAGGTATCATGAACTAACAAAGAACACAGCATTTATTAAATTTTTTGTATTTAAAATTTTTAGTTAATTTTTATTCGGCAACACTTCACATAAGGTCCCATTAGTTAATGTTTGTTATTGCATTAACTAATGGTAACCTAATGGGGTAACATAATAAACTAATGGGGACCACAAAATCAGTCATACGGGTCAATTTTTCGAAATTGAGATTTATACACCATCTGAAAGCTGAATAAATTTAGGTTTGTTAGGATGGGACAATATTTGGTCGAGATACAACTATTTGAAAATCTGGAATCTGAAGGTGCAAAAAAAATCTAAATATTGAGAAAATCGCCTTTAAAGTTGTCCAAATGTCTTCAAAAACATCAAAAATGAAGTTTTAATATATTTACAGTAGGAAATTTACTAAATATCTTCATGGAACATAATCTTTACTTAATATCCTAATGATATTTGGCATAAAAGAAAAATCAATAATTTTGACCCATACTATGTATTTTTGGCTATTGCATTGCTACAAATATACCTCAGCGACTTAAGACTGGTTTTGTGCTCCAGAGTCACATTTGTTGCAGTATCTATTCAACTGTTCATTGTTAGTTCATGTTAGCTTAGGTCCATTAAATAATATTAACAGATAACAATTTAATATTTTATTAAATGTTAAAATTAACAAACTAAGATGAATAAATGGGTAACACTTTACAATAAGGTTCATTAGTTAACATTAGTTAACTGTGTTAGTTAACATGAACTAAGCATGAACAATACTTCTACAGCATTTATTGATCTTAGTTAATGTTAATTTCAACATTTAATAATTAATTATTAAAATCAAAAGTTGTATATGTTAACATTAGATAATGCGCAGTGAACTAACATGAACAAACAATGAATAACTATTTTCATTAACTAACATTAACAAAGATGAATAAATACTGTAACAAATGTATTGTTCATTGTTAGTTCATGTTAGTTAATACATTAACTAATGTTAACAAATGACACCTTATTGTAAAGTGTTACCAATAAATGCTTTGGAAGTATTTTTTCAATGTGAATTCATGTTAACTATTGTAGTTGACTAATGTTAATAAATGGAACCTTATTGTAAAGTGTTGCCGTTTATTTATAAATATATTGTTTATTTCTGTTCATTATGTAAATTAATGTTAATTTATACAACTTGTTAAAAATATATTAATGGATGTAAAAATTCACATTACCCTACATTAAAGGGATACTTCACCCCAAAATGAAAATTTTGTCATTAATCACTTACCCCCATGTCGTTCCAAACCCGTAAAAGCTTCGTTTGTCAAGTAAATTACACTGTCAGGGTCCAGAAAAGTATGAAAGACCACAGTGGTTAGAATCCACTGGTGGTCTTTGATATCCACAATATCAGGTCCAGAAAAGTATGAAAGACATAGTCAGAATAGTCCATCTACCACCAGTGGTTCAACCGTAACATTATGAAGCGACGAGAATACTTTTTGTACGCGAAGAAAACAAAAATAACAACTTTATTCAACAATTTGTCTCTCGTCCAGCGGATATTCTCCAAAATGGCGCTACAGTGATGCGGAGAGACACAGAGGAGACGACTTGTTGAATAAAGTCGTTATTTTAGTTTTCTTCGCGTACAAAAAGTATTCTCGTCGCTTCATTACGTTACGGTTGAAGCACTGATGGCAGATGGCCTATTCTGACGATGTCTTTCATACTTTTATGGACCCTGACAGTGTAATTTACTAGGCAGTCAATGGGACAAGTCACAAGCCTCCCGGTTTTCATCCAAAATATCTTAAATTGTGTTCCAAAGACGAACGAAGCTTTTACAGGTTTGGAACAACATGGGGGTAAGTGATTAATGACAAAATTTTCATTTAGGGGTGGAGTATCCCTTTAATAAGTGTTGTAAAATTATTGTTCATTGTTAGATCATCATAGTTTGCTGTGACCAGCTATTAGAATGATCCATTTGATTGGCAAGTTTACAGTTATACATAATAATGTTTTAGGGGAACAGAGGATATCAGCTCTCCTCACGGTATTCCACTGGATCTGCTGGATCGAGTCTTGATTATCAGAACTATGCTGTACACTCCTCAAGAAATGAAACAGGTGGGCATTCAAATTGTCAAAACAAGCTGCTTAAAAATAAAGTTTTTACATTATAAAAGACGAATTAAACATTTCATGCTGTTGTTTCATTTGCATGTTACTATAGATCATAAAGATCAGAGCTCAGACAGAAGGAATCAACATCAGCGAGGAGGCTTTATCTCATCTTGGAGAGATCGGTACCAAGACTACACTTAGGTAATACTTTTTACTGCATTTTGAAAAACATACCTACTTATTTAGATTAGCATTGAACTCCCATATTTATTTCTGTGTTGCTTGCATTTTCATTATCATGCATTTATAATTTATGCAATTTGGTTTGGTCATTTTGGCTAATGTGTGAGTTTGTGTAAATGCAGATACGCAGTGCAGCTGCTGACCCCTGCCAGTCTGCTGGCACGAGTTCAGGGAAGGGAAGTAGTCGAAAAGGAACAAGTGGAAGAAATTAATGAACTCTTCTATGATGCTAAATCCTCTGCAAAGATCCTACAAGATCAGCACACCAAGTTTATGAAATAACTGTACAGCCTGCTTTAGTGTGCTTTACTGGTTGTTTAGTTCACATTTGTCATGACATTCTAACAGTATGACCGCTGTTTTAAGCCAATTCAACATCAATGCATGGCTACTTTATTGTTTTACCTAACTGTCAGTTGTTGTTAGTCAAAAAACTGGTAGAAAAACAGATAAGAAAACATTCTCTATTTAACGTGCTTAGAAAACCTGATTTCTTTAGTTTCATCCCCCAGTTTTGTTATTTTCCTGCGGGATAAGTTTTCCATTGTCCTGTCTGCTGTTCTTTTTGTTTTGAAAATAAATCTTTTTTTATAGTAATGTGAAATATAAATGGGACTTTTTTTTAATGACAAATATTTCATTTTCACACCAAATCAAATGCTCAACTTCAATTTAAAACTAAACCAACAAGTTTATTTATTTATTATTTATCCAATAAACCTTGCAACTAAAGTAGCATTCTAGGATATTTAAAAAAAAATAATAAAGTCCATTTTAATTGTTTAAAGCCTTTTTAGAAAAATGGAAAAAAGTGCATTTAGGTACATATTAAGATCAGGTTATTAGCTGTGTTAAATGTTGAACGATGACCATGTTCAAACAAAAACTACGGAGTTGTTTTCAATGTTAATGCTTTAGATTCATTTAAAAAATACATGTTTTAGCTGTACGATTCAGTGAAACTGTAGTTTCATAGTGTTACTTTCTCTTGCTGGGTTTGTTAAAGGCAGTCTCAGATCCTGAGCGAACATTGCTGAAGACGGATGGTGCGACCTTCCCAGCCTGTTCTAAAAGCAGAGACAGAAAGATACTCAGGATACACAATAATACAAACTACAACATCCAACACATTTGGATTTCAGTTACCTCATTACAAAGGGCTCCGTTTATGTAAATTATACATGCATGAATTGACAAAAGACAAAGTAATTTTAACTGAGAAGTGACGTATATGGCGTCAAACACAAATCTCTCATGTTTCATGTGTTAGTGTTTCTTAAAGATTCATGTGTTTCTTAATGATATACAATCTTTTAATAGTCTTTGATGATAACTTTTAAAATTGAAGGGAACATTGATGGTCTGTGTATACAATGGTGATAAATTAGTACATTGTAAAATATTACAGCTGGGATCTTGAAGTTGAGATTATAAAAGGCTAGAAAAAAAATAAGGGGTATCTTCAGGAATCAGAAACACAAATTAGTCAATATAAACACGTAAGACAAATGATAGACAATAAACATCACATAAAAAAGTGATTAGTAGAAGAGTGTCTTCCCCCGTGTTTTTGTGTTCTGACCTTCTGCTATATATGGAGTGGAAACATTACAAAAACCAGACACACATACACACGGCTCTTCTTTTTTCCTCTTGGCTCCAAGTCAAAAAAGAAGGACACTTGGATTCAGTGACATTTTGATTTCACACACAATCTTCTAACTGAATGATCAGTTGCTGCTCGACTCACCGCATTCCTGCATCACTTCAAAGGTCTTGCTCTTCACCTCTGTTCCAGATGCCAATTGATCCTTGGCTCCAATCAAATCCTCTGCTTTTACCTCAGGCCTCTTAACTTCTTCACCCTGCTGAAGAGAAACAGAAAAATGAATGACAAGAAAAAATGATCAGAATTTCTTCTGTGGTCATCTTTGTCTTACTTGAGACATGGCCAACTCTCAAAATCAGTTGTGAAGTCCTACTGTCTTGCTGAAGATACTGTTTTATACTGGTCGTAAGTGCATTTATACAAACACACCCTTCCCTTGCAAAGTCCAATCCCAAATGGGCCATAATTCCTTTGGCCAAAGCATGAGTCACACTGTTCCTCCTCCCATTCAGTCTCAGTCACTGTTCCCGTAGGCATATACACAGTTATTTAAAGATGACATCTTCAGTACTTCAATTACTTCCAGCAGTTGAGAAATGAAAAGAGTTCATGGTTTGTGCCTTGTATCTGCTTTATTGTTCATGCTGGAGTGCTTCTAAATGACTGCATATGTTTATTTGAACAGTTGTGTTTGTTCTTTTGAGTGTTGCTAAGTGATTGTTTGTGAATGTTAATTTGTCTCTCAGAGCAAAGAGATATTCAGGAAGGACTTGATGTCCTGCTATTCTTGAGTCTCTCTGTCCTAATGTTTTTATTTTCTTATTCCTTTTTACTGGTTTGCAAACTTTTCATACAGCTTCATGCTAGAATCTATGTTCAAAAGTTTGGAACTGGCAAGATTTTTTAACGTTTTTGAAAAAGTCTCTTATGCTCACCAAGGCTGCATTTATTATATATATACACACCAAAAACAGCAATAATGAAAGGTTTGTGGGAGAGATAAATATGGACATTTTCCTGTGGTTTACTGCTTTTTTATGATGTGTCGTTCTGCACTATTGAAAATGCTGATAAAAAGATTTGAAATACAAAAACTGCAATAAAACAGTAAATACTGTTATAATTTAAAAGACATGTTTATTTTAAAATGTAGTATATTCCTGTATGACAGAAATACATTTTCATGTTAAACAATTTTCCAGTAGTACATATTTTTAGGATTCTTTGATGAATAGAAAGTTCAAAAGTACAGCATTTATTTAAAATAGAAATCTTTTCTGATAATATAAAAGTCTTTACTGTCCCTTTTGCTTAATCCTTACTGAACAAAAGTAGCATTGTTCTTTAAAAAAAATAAAAATCTTGCCGACCCCAAATATTTGAACAGTAATATTTGTAAATTAAATTTGGAAAACAGTGCAATCAGGAAAAAAAGTTGTATTTGTTCCCAGATATTATAATAGTAGATAATATTTTCCATTCTCATCTTACATGTTTTCAAAGACAATGGTACCCAGTATCATTTGAATTTATTATATGTAAAACCATTTTGTACATCATTCATGTAAACAATCATTCATACAAAATTCACCACTGATTTATACAGCTACAGTATATCTAATAGTAACATTATGCAAAGGGTACCATTATCAATGTACACCTCTGGTATGTCTAATTAAAAATAAGCATTACTGTTCAAAAGATGAACAATCAATGCATTTGTAGTATTTCATAGTGATGAAGGAATGACAGGCACATTGGAGCAGTAGTTGCATACTGGGGGACCCCTTGATATATTTGCATTACGTTGCAATATTCTCTGTATTTGTTTTGTAATCAATCAATAAAATATTCTATAAGATATGTCCTGTAGGAATAGGAACCGTCAAACCGTCAGTATCGTAGTGAACTACTTTTGATGTCATAATCAAAACCGAACATAGAAGTACTGCATCTTCTGCAGCAAAAATTGAAAAAATTTAAAGAAAACAAAATATGTTTGTGAAAAATTACACACAGTATTTATTTCTGGTTATTAATTTTTCTGGTCCATGACATGTTAGTGTCAGCTGCACCTCAGTGAGGTTTAGGCATCAGCAGCTTTCAAAGTAAAAGCTCATGTATGTTTCTTGCTATATTTCAGTAACAACTGAGTCCTAACAAACTGCACAAGTCTCGTTTCCGTAAAAAATGCTGTGACGACTACACCCAGGAGACAAACTGCTCCCACGGCAACATGAACCAGCCTTAGCAACCAGCCACCATCACAGCAGAACATGCTCTGAAAGACAAAATAGTTACAAATCAGATTTCAATTTGCTCATCACAACAAACTGATATAATTAAACAATAAGGCACAGGCATGATACCTCTGAGCACGCTGTGAGGATGGAGCTCACGCCAAGTGCAATAATGACAGCAGAATGTGGGCGGAGCCCCCACAGAGGTGTGCATTCACTTTGCAGAAAATAGTGATGTATGTAAACAATACTGTGAGTGATTCGTAAAGCCATGTTACAGCAATTAGCCAAAATGAAGCCAACGCCACCTAACATCCAGGTTAGCCAATAAGAAAGGAGAAGAAATGATGCTGACATGCCCAGCATCACCAGATTATATCTAAAAAGAAAGAGAGAAAAGCATGTTGTTTAAACAATTTCTTAGAAAAATGGAAAAGGCTTACATACTTATCTGTCTTAGAAAACAGTTTGTAAATAAATGATATATATATATACATATATATATACTGCATATAACACTACAGTTTAAATGTTTGGGGTCAGTAAGATTTTTCGAAAGAAATTAATACTTTTATTATGCAAGGATGCATTAAATTAATCTGTGAATGTAAGGATGTTACAACTATTTTTTATTTCAATCAAATGCTGTTCCTGAATAGCAAATAAATGTTGTTGTACAAATAAATGTATTCATACGAAGAATCCTTAAAAAATGCATTGTGGTTTCCACAAAAATATAATGCAGCACAAATGGATTCAACTTGAGCACCAAATCAGCACATTAGAATGATTTCTGAAGGATCGTGTGACACTGAAGACTGAAGTAATGACTGCTGAAAATTCACAGGAAAAAATTACACTTTAAAATATATTAACATAGAAAACAGTTATTTTAAATTGTAATAATATTTCACATTATTTCTGTTGTTATTGTATTTTTGATCAAATGAATGAAGCTTTGGTGAGCATAAAAGACTTTTCAAAATCTTACAGACCCCAAATGTTCGAGTGATACTGTATATATACAGTATAGTAATTATGTGTTGTTCACCTGTCAACCTCCTCTTTGCTCATAGCAGCAAAAACAAAACACTCTGTTACTCCATTAATGGCCAACAGCAGAACATAACAACTATAACACCGTAGAAGAGCCGGCCCTGCAAAATACACAAATAAACCATTTAAATGTTTACGGCACACATACAAATAAAAATGTATCCGCTATCCACTGTAAGCAATAAGCATATTAATGTTTACCGGCTCCGCTGCTCAGAAGCTCCCCACCGTAGATATCAAGTGCCAGATGAGAATATGCATAACCAAAAACTGTGATGATCAGACCAATCAAAAGCACCAGCTTCAAAAGATATTCCAGTACTTCAGCTGCCATGGAAACTTCCTCCTGTGGACCAATCAACATTTTACAGTTTGCCAACCCACATCTGGGTAGCTGCACTACATTAAATTAGGAACATAAACAGACACTGACTTGTTTTTGATGTCGTACATCTCGTCCACGCTCCAGGACTTTAGCAAAGAACACATAGAAACTCTCCTCAATGGGCAAAAAAAGAAATCTAGCCACCATTGAGCCCAGATTGTTTATTATATCATAAACCCCTGTAAATAGAAAGGAAAATAAGAATTATAATATGAATACGCTGTTTGTGTATAATAGCTTGTGTATATGAATGTACAAACTCACCTTGGTCTCCAAAGTTAAGCACATTCAAAAACGTCATCACATAACGCTCGCCTATAAAATCAAAGCGAAATATTCATTAGAAGCATTTGAACATTCAGACAAAAAAATACTGCGTAATTAAGCATGACAGGCACTAACCTTCTGTAAGTATCTGTTTGAGAAATGACTGCTTGAAAAAGCTCCAGGTTAGTGTGGTCAACTTCCAGTTTAGTAGTGGCTAAAAAAACAAAACAAACAAACAATGTAGTTGTTTCACTGAAACAAAAAATTATGTGGTGTCGTATTATAAAATAAGTCACCTCGTGATCCACTCTAGATGGCAGAAGGTCTGTTATGTGACTAACAGGGAACAATTTACTCTCTGCTTCCTCTGAGCCAAGGAAATGGATGAAGTATAACACGTAACAAAGCAACAAAAACCCTGCATAGACACACTGTCAAATAGAGTTTTTGGAAGACAACCAAAAACTATAAATGTTGTATATGTTCAGTGTGCAAACATGTAAACATATATACCTGGGCAGCAGAGAAGATATAGAGTCCCCATTGAGGTGCTGAGACCACCATCACGACGGTAACAAGACATTTAGCAATCATGGCTAAGCTTTCGGCAATCACCTGCGAATATGTGTAATTTGATCAGATACATTCATCTTATTCAATCTACAATGACAATATAAAGTGCAATATAAAGCATGATAGGCAGATTCTGACACCTTCAAACGGACGAACATGTGCGCATGTGCAAGAACCCAGAGGGGTTCAGCCAGCAGCTCTGTAAGTGCAGCTAGGCAGAACAATCCAACTGCGGGAACATAATGCGGGATGGACTCTGGATCAGGTGCCTGGAGCACCCACCACCACACACACACTAACAGCACACCCCACACACAACCCACAGGAAATCTTAGAGTTTGAGAAGAAGATAAAAGAAAGAGAATAAAAAAAACATTTTAATTTTAGGTGAACTATTCCTTGAAATTTCAGATATGATAGATTTACTTATTTCCTGTAAATCTCTGATTGCAATCGTTCAATCCTTTTTTTATATATAGAGTTCATTAGTGCCTCCCCACGTTTCAGCGTGTTGGTTCCAGGGGCAAGCAAATTTTGGTTAATAAACCTACAGGTATTTCTGCTTACGTGAGCCATAACAGGTTGATGACTTGTCTCCAGTTACGCCCCGCCCCTTCGCTGCTTAGACACGCCCTCCGGAACGCCTCCCTAGACAGAAACACCAATGTAGAATAGAGCAGCATCAACCTGTAACAAAAGCAAACGTTGCAGTTAGTGGGCCACTGAAAGGAATGTTCGAGTTTATGATTTGTACCTGCAAACCCACCTAACATTTACCACGCCTATCAGCTCCTTGGACACAAACCGCAGAGTAAATGCATTCAAGAGAAACGTCAACACTCGAAACATCACCTGCAACGTAAAAAAATATTTCAACATACTGCTTTATTATATGTCTCTAATATAGGTGTATTTAGTGTGTTCAGAATAGCAGTGTGTGTGTGTAGTAGTACCTGAAGCAGAACATTATAAGAGGCCAGTGTTGAAGCACTCTTGAGCACATCTTCTGAGCCCATTGTGAACTTTACTTTTTTTAACTCAACTATTGAAACTCTCTAACAACAAAATCACCGAAATTCGCCGGTGGCAAATAAACGTTACCTTCGCTTCATTATACAGATATATTACTATGATACTGTACTACAATAGTCTCCATTTGGTATTTACCAACTGTACAAGTTGTCAAATGGAATATACTTCCGTTTCTCAGTTGAAAGATTTCAAAATAAAAGTCCGCGAATATCGGTGGCGTTTCTAATGACGCTTTGGGGGGAAATGGACGACTCGCGTTATTTTATAATTATTCAAAATGTTCGTAATATTCTGCAGTGAGACAAAAATCTATGTTCGACTGTACATTGTAGCACTTTTAACTGGTTGCAACTAACAGGAAGTTTTTTCTGGAAGGATTATGATTCACTAGACTCGAATCTTTCTGTGTTATGAACAACTCAATGAATCGTTCAATCGATTCATTACAATGACCGAGTCGATTAAAATGTGTGTCATTCAACAACAACACCACTACAAAGCAGAAATGAAAGGAATAATCAGAGGGGCTATGATTAGGAAATGGCAAAAGATGTGGGATAGGGACATAAAGGGTCGGCATCTATACAACATTCAAAAACAAGTTGGAAATGGAAGGAAAAACTTTGGAAGTAGGAAGGAGGACACAATAATATCTAGACTCCGTATCAGAATTTGAAGATCACATAATGAAGTATATAAAATAATTGTATCCTTGTGTAATACTCCTTTGGTCAAATTAAAGGTTATTTGATTTTTTTTATTATTAGTTTTTTTAAATATTTTTTTATATGCTGTCACCAATATACAGTCCAGTAGGTGGCGGAAATGCACCTTTTAAGTGGGTTTGCCAACCGCCATTAAAAAGAAAAGAAGAAGAAGAAGAAGAACACCACTACGGACCTGACCAATGCTAGAATCTGAGCCTTCATTAATTAAGTATTCAGTAACTTTTCTAATCAATTTGTGTGGCTGTGGAACATATCCTATTACATTGTGAAGCATATGAAAGAGAAAGAATGCGATTAATAGAAGAATTAAGTTTGTTGAATATTGAAAGAATTACAATTAAGACAATACTTGAGTATGCTTCAGCACAGTATAAAGTCTATAATGCAATTATTAATTATTTGAAAGCAATAGGTTTAATAAATAGAATTTGAAGATCACATAATGAAGTATATAAAATAATTGTATCCTTGTGTAATACTCCTTTGGTCAAATTAAAGGTTATTTGATTTTTTTTATTATTAGTTTTTTTAAATATTTTTTTATATGCTGTCACCAATATACAGTCCAGTAGGTGGCGGAAATGCACCTTTTAAGTGGGTTTGCCAACCGCCATTAAAAAGAAAAGAAGAAGAACAACACCACTACGGACCTGACCAATGCTAGAATCTGAGCCTTCATTAATTAAGTATTCAGTAACTTTTCTAATCAATTTGTGTGTCCTGCTGTCAGCAAATATTTTATATGTGTACTTGGATAGGGTTGCTTCATCACAAATGCTCATCTCTGCTGCACAGAAGTTACTGTGTCCTCGTAAGAAACGTTTATCTCCGGCCACATGTCTGGATGTGACTGTTCAAATAATGGCTGTGGATCTGGGCGTCAAACTTGCGCTACTTTACGACAGTAATGCAGCATCTCCAGAACAGCTTCAGATGTACCTCAATGCTCTACAGGAGTCTGGAGTTGTAACCAATCCACTACGGATTCTGACCATTGATGGCAACACATTCATTTTTAATCGTGCCACTATTGAGTCCCACCTGGACGAACTGCTCCAAAGCAAAGGTCTCATTCTGATTGACGTATGTCCCTCAAAAAAACGAGCGGTTATGGCTGGCTTTGAAAAGAAAACTGAGGATATGATCAAAACTCTTTCAGGATTCTTCATGAATGAGCTGGACAAAGGCTCCTCTGTGATTGTATTAGGAGAAGAGTTGTATAATGACTGGAACTTGTGCACTCTTTTTGGAATCCTGTTAGGTTATCCAGCCTCATACTGGTTTGACCAAACTAAAGGATTCGGGAACTGTCTGTGTATGACACCACTGGTGGTGTGCACCGTTTGGGTCAAATGGCACACCCGTGACATAAATCATCGCTGTTGTCTTTACTCTTTCAGTGTTCCTGAAGAGCTATGGTCAGAAGTACAATGTCATGTGCAACAGTGGACTGAGCGTCTGAGAGAGAGATTTAACAAACAGCCAGTTCTGACTGATCTCTGCTTTTCTAGGGAAACTGTCACTTTGCGCTCTGTGACCCTTTGAATAAACCTGATTTATGTTTCTTTTTGTATTATTAAATGTTTACATTATTTATTCAATTATTTGTTAATTTCATAATTGTTTTTCATGCATCACCTATTTTCGGTATCATTTATGCTCTTCATGGATTTCTTATCAAAGCAACGTGTAATAATGTGTGCATATAATAACTTCAGGCAGTGAATCTCAACCTTTTTTATTTCAGATCCTTCAGATTCCCAGCTCCATGTTGGCACTCATTTTCTATAGGGTTCAGGTCAGGGATCTGGGACAGCCATGGCAGATGCTTCATTTTGTGCTCAGTGACACAAAGCGGTCATTTTTGTGTTGATTTTGATGTTTGTTTTGGATCATTGTCCTGATAGAAGTTCCAACCACGGCCCATTATGAGATTTCTAACAGAGGCAGTCAGGTTTAGATTTTTTTTTTCTATTGGTTTTTGATAGAATCCATGATGCCATGTATCTGAACAAGATGTCGAGGACCTCCGGCAGAAAAATAGGCCCACAACATTAAAGATCCAGCAGTATATTTTACTGTGGACATGGGGTACTTTTTATCCCTGTTTGCACCAAACCCATCTGGTGGGTTTGCTGCCAAAAACCTCTTTTCTTTTGGTTTCATCTAACCATAAAAGCCAGTCCCTTTGAAGTTCCAGTTGTGTCTGACAACTGAATATGCTGGAGTTTTTCTTGAAACACCTCCCGAACAACATGTGGTGATGTAGGGGCCGTTTGAACCCAAGATTCAACTAATCTCTGCAATTCTCCAGCTGTGATACTTGGAGTCTTTGGCCACTCAAACTCTCCTCCTCACCATGCATTAGGACGATATAGACACACGTCTTCTTCCAGGCAGATTTGTAACATCTTTAGTTGATTGGAACTTCTTAATTATTGCCGATGGTAGAAATGGGGATTTTCAATGCTTTAGCTATTTTCTTTCAGCCACTTTCTATTTTATGAAGCTCAACAATCTTGTTCTGCACATCAGAAATATATTCTTTGGTTTTACTCCTTGGGATGGATGAATAAGGGAATTTGGCCTTTGTGTTCCTCATATTTATAATCCTGTGGAACAGGAAGTCGAGGCTGCACAATTTCATGCTCCTAGTCACCCTGGTGTGCTAAAAAATGTAAATAATATACTTCAGAGATATTTTACTCATAAGAATTTCATAATGTGAGTTTCCCCCCACTTTCAATTGTTTTACTTCAATGAAAGGTTAGAATTTTGTGAATTTTTTGAATGAAAGATCAAAAAGATTAATGCAGATTTATTTTCACAGCCGCCTTTACTCATATTTGGGTGCAAATATTAGTGGAGGGCACTGTATATGTAAAATTATATACATACATTATACTCAAAGCGATATATATAACAAATCTCAACTGCTTGATTGTTTATATTGTTTAAAAATGAAAAACTAAATAATCACCCAGCTCTAAACCTCTCAATGCAAGCAACTATAAGGCATGAAGATATTAAGATGTTATAAGTATTAACGCCATGATTTTCTGTAAAATTGCTTTGAAACAATATGTATTGTGAAAAGCATTATACAAATACAACTGAACATGACCGATATTTTCAGACAGAACAAATGATTAACATGTACATTTTTTTTATGTTTCAATACATTTTAAAAACATCCTAGTAGTCACATATATTCGAAAATACATATTTAAATAGTCATTCATCTTTAACCAAACTTCTATTAGTAAATAAAATAAGTCATAATCCATACAGCTCATTTAGAATGTCATCATTACCATTACTGTTTCCCACATTGATTCTTGAGAAGCTCTGTAACTTTTCAGAGAGTAAATTCTCGATGGGAAATGCAGTTGTCCCTATGAACCTACTTTATCATTTTGAAGTATTTAAGCTTAACTCATTAATGCCAATGCTGTATTCCGTATTGCACTTCAAACTCTAGCTAAAGAATGTGTGTATATGTTAAAGTAATTCTGTAACTTGAGGTAGAGATCTGTTGTTTTATGCAAGGAGCCTAGAACCAAACCAAATCTATGTTCCAGTAATCTTGTGGCGAGGCGAATGCTGAGGTTCAGATTAGCTTCAAGGAAAAGAGTCAGTTTCTCAGAGTTGAACTGCCGGCAGCACTTCTCCACAACGCGCACTCACCCTGATGTCAGTAAGATGATCAGCTCTCGTGGGTCCTATATTCACAATGGCTATTGGAAGCTTTCTTTCACTAGCAGCGAGGAGAAAGCGGTACCCTGAAAAAACCTAAAAAGCAAAACAAATGCCTTCACCTTTTTCCAAATGTCTTGAGAAAGTATTGAGACAAGGAGGAAAAATTATTTGCATTATCTACATCAGGAATACTCATTAACTAGTTCAAACTCTAGTCAAACACCTGAACCAACCACGCAAGGTCTTTGGGTTTACTTGAAGATTGCACTGGAACAGGGTTGGAACTATTTGTGGGGATCAGTGTTATTTTAGTATTACTGAGATACTATTGCTATTATAGTATGATAATATATAGTAATGATACTATTATAATATTTTTAATTAGTTTAAATTTTTTACTTTCCATTTTCATTTTAATTATATATTATTATATTTTACTTTTATAAATATTTTATTATTTAATTTATTTTTAGTTATTTTACACTTCTACGTTGTTTGTTTCCGTCATTTTCATTAGTTTTTTTTAATGCTTTTTAAATTTATGCTATATAGTTTGTATTTATTTTTATTTCAGCTTTAGTTTCAGTTATTCTTGCATCAAGTTAAACTAAATGAAAATGAGAAATAAATGAAAGCTTATTCCTTATTCCACAGAATCTCCTCTCACAATACTTCAAAAGTTTTTTTTCTCATATAGTTTATATTGTGAGACAAAAAAATAAAAAAAATGTAATAAGATGATAAAATTGCGAGATATAATTTAAGAATTACAAGGAAAAAAACGTCGTAATTACCTTTTTTTATTTAATGGTGGAAACAAGCTTCCATAAAAATGTTACCTCTGCAACTAGCTGAAATAAAGTATTTTTTTCTTTAAGTTCAGTTTATTTTAACATTTATTTTACTTCAAGTATCAAAATTCTTTTGTGGTTTTAGTTTCAGTTAAGTATTATAACCACGGGGATTTTGATTCAAATCTTTTAAAGGGGTCATATGATGCGATTTCAAGTTTTCTTTTCTCTTTGGAGTGTTACAAGCTCTTGGTGCATAAAGAAGATCTGTAAAGTTGCAAAAATTAAAGTCTCAAATCCAAAGAGATATTCTTTATAAAAGTTAATTGTCAACCACGCCTACCTAAAACAGCTCGTTCTAACACGCCCCACATACCTACATCACTATGTGGTAAGATTTGCATAATGCCGCCCAAATGTTCACGCAAAGAAAGAAGGCGTAACTTTTATTCTCGCTGTAGTATTGTTGTTGCCGCCACCGCCATGTCGTGAAGGCGCTGTGTGTTTCGTTGTGAAAGCGAAACTACTTTGTTTGGTCTTCCAAAAGAGGACGATATCTGCTTCGTCATGCCTGGAGCTGATCCGTGCTGGTCGATGAGGAAATACATCAACTTCGCGCTGTGGATCGCCGGATCGGCTCTCATTGTGGACAAAGCGGAGTCCAGCCCGGAGTCTTCACATGTGGTTGCCGCAAGCCCACCGGACGCTCCTTCGTCGAATCTGCCAGCCGCGCCGTTCTCAAGCCTGCCCGCCTCCACTCACTCAAGCCCACTGTGTGTGACGCTGTTTTGTTGTGAAAGCAAAACTACTTTGTTTGGTCTTCCAAAAGAGGACGATATCTGCTTCGTCATGCCTGGAGCTGATCCGTGCTGGTCGATGAGGAAATACATCAACTTCGCGCTGTGGATCGCCGGATCGGCTCTCATTGTGGACAAAGCGGAGTCCAGCCCGGAGTCTTCACATGTGGTTGCCGCAAGCCCACCGGACGCTCCTTCGTCGAATCTGCCAGCCGCGCCGTTCTCAAGCCTGCCCGCCTCCACTCACTCAAGCCCACTGTGTGTGACGCTGTTTTGTTGTGAAAGCAAAACTACTTTGTTTGGCCTTTCAAAAGAGGACACGACTAGAAATCAGTGG